GGGGCTATTGCACTCAGACTGAAGCATGGTCAGCTGCTTGATGATTGACTTTTATAGTGAAGGGAGTTCCATCAACTGAAATGTTTCATTCTCACTTTTTGTTTTCTTATTGTAGCTTTATACAAATGAAAACTATTTGTACCCGCATTCTCCAAAGTTGGCAGATGAACAAACGAACAAAAATCCTAGTTCAAGAGCACCCTCTTCTGTCAGCATAGCAAAGTGCAGTTTAGTTCACGGGTGACTAATTTTAGAGAGGGTGGTGAGGAAAGGCATAGTGTCCTTCAGTTTTGTGGATTTTGTATGTCTTGCAGATACATAAATTTACCCCCCTTGCTTCATTTTCCCTTCACTATTTCCAAAAGTACCTCTCTCTTTCCTTTATACTCTTCTTCCCCAGAAGTAATGCCTTCCCTTGACTACCATATTGATTTGTGTGTGTACTCTTAAGTACCTTCTCTCTAAAGTCACTGCTCTTGTTCCTAGCATATTCCATTTTTTTTCTTTTGTCTTTTTTTTTTTTTTTTTTTTTTTTTTTAAGAGACAGAGTTTTGCTTTTATCACCCAGACTGGAACGCAATGGTGCGATCTCAGCTCATTGCAACCAGTGCCTCCCCAGTTCAAGTGATTCTCCTGCCTCAGTCTCTCGAGTAGCTGGGATTACACGGACACGCCACCACACCTGGCTAATTTTTATATTTTTAGTAGAGACGGGTTTTCACCATGTTGGCCAAGCTGGTCTCAAACTCCTGACCTCAAGTGATCCACCAGCCTCAGCCTCCCAAAGTGCTGGGATTATAGGCATGAGCCCCCACACCTGGCCAGAAGAAGTTTTTTTAAAAAGTAAAGTAAAAGGTGTAATAATACAATACTTTTTGAGTTAAAAGTAAATATATGGGCCAGGTGCAGTGACCTACACCTCTAATGTCAGTATTTTGGGAGGCCGAGGCGGGTGGATCACTTGAAGCCAGAAATTCAAGACCAGCCTGGCCAACATGGCGAAACTCCATCTCTAAAATACAAAAATTAGCCAGGCATGGTGGCACATGCCTGTAATCCCAGCTACTTAGGAAGCTGAGGCAGAAGAATCACCCAAACCTGGAAGGCAGAAGTTGCAATGAGCCAAGATCTCACCACTGCACACCAGCCTGGGCAACAGAGTGAGATTCTGTCTCAAAGAGAGAGAAAAAAAAAAAAAAAAAAAAACAGCAAATTTGGAGAGAGACTTTCCAGAGGTAATTAAAATTAAATGGGGTCATAAGAGGGGGACCCTAATCTGATAGGACTTGAATTTTTTTAAGAATTGGAAAAGCTGGGCCAGCACAGTGGCTCATGCCTGTAATCCCAGCACTTTGGGAGACCGAGACAGGTGGATCATGAGGTCAGGAGATCAGGACCATCCTGGCCAACATGGTGAAACCCCATCTCTACTAAAAATACAAAAATTAGCTAAGCGTGGTGGCGGGCGCCTTTAATCCCAGCTATTCAAGAGGCTGAGGCAGGAGAATCACTTGAATCCGGGAGGCGGAAGTTGCAGTGAGCTGAGATCGCGCCACTGCACTCCAGTCTGGTGACAGAGTGAGACTCCATCTCAAAAAAAAAAAAAAGAAAGAAAAGAATTTGAAAAGCCAGCCGGGCACGGTGGCTCATGCCTGTAATCCCAACACTTTGGGAGTCCGAGGCAGGCAGATCACAAGGTCAGGAGATTGAGACCATCCTGGCTAACATGGTGAAACTCTGTCTCTACTAAAAATACAAAAAATTAGCCAGGTGTGGTGGTGGGTGCCTGTAGTCCCAGCTACGTGGGAGGCAGAGGCAGGAGAATTGCGTGTTCCCAGGAGGTGGAGTTTGCAGTTGAGATCACGCCACTGCACTGCAGCCTGGACGACAGAGCGAGACTCCGCCTCAAAATAAATGAATGAATGAATGAATGAATGAATGAATGAATGAATGAATGAAAAAGCCAGCCTGGGCAACATAGTAAAATGCCATCTCTACAAAAAATTTAAAAATTAGCCAGATGTAGTGGCACGCAGCTATAGTCCCAGCTACTAAGGAGGCTGAGGTGGGAGGATCACTTAGCACCAGAGGTCAAGGCTGCAGTGAGTCAAGGTCACACCGTTGCACTCCAGCCTGGGTAACAAAGCAAGACCCTGTCTCTGAGGGGAAAAAAAAAAGAGGAAGAGACACCAGAGATCTCTCTCTTTGTGCATGCACAGAGAGCAAAGACTTTGTGAGGACACAGCAAGAGGGTAGTCCAGAAGCCAAGGAGACAGAGACCTCAGAATTAAGCCAACCCTGCCAACACCATGATCTTGGACTGCTAGCCTCCAGAACTGACAGAAAATAAGTTTCTGTTATTTAAGCTATGCAGTTTATGGTATTTTCTTATGGCAGCCCTAGAACACTAATACATAAAGCAAATACAGGTCAGGCATGGTGGCTCACACCTGTAATCCCAGCACTTTGCGGGGCCAAGAAAGGTGGATCACCTGAGGTCAGGAGTTCAAGACCAGCCTGGCCAATGTGGTGAATCCCTGTCTCTACTAAAAGTACAAAAATTAGCCGGATATAGTAGTGCTTGCCTGTAATCCCAGCTACTTGGGAGGCTGACGCATGAGAATCTGTTGAACCCAGTAGACGGGGGTTGCAGTGAGTCAAGATTACGCCACTGCATTCCAGCTTGGGTGACAAGAGCAAAACTCTGTCTCAAAAAAAAAAAATTTTTGTTTTTAATAAATAAGTAAAGCAAATACAACATCGATACCAAAACCTGATTTTAAAATACCTAAAAAAATACACACTAGTATCACATAATATTAATGCAAAACCTCAAAACATTAGCAAACAGAATATACAACTTCAGGAATGAAGGAATAGTTTAGTATTAGGAAATCTACGAGGATAGATTTATAAATAGATCTAAGGAAGAAAATCACATGATCATCTCCAAAAACATTGAAAGTGCATTCAACAATATTCAACACTCATTCGGAACTTTAAGGACAAAATAAACAACAAAAATATTTAAAACAGAAACCAGTAGTAGCTTCAACATGAAAAAAAGACACAAATCAGGAAACATTGACAGCAGTCTTGCTAAACTTGGAAATAATACAAAGATGCCCAGAATTACAACTATGATTCCCCATTACATTTGACATATAGGAAGTTGTAGCCAATGCAAAACAAGGAAAGAAATGACACGTAAAATAACTGGAAAGATAGAACTTTATTTACTTACTTATTTTTGGAGATGGAGTATTGTTCCATCACCCAGTATGGAGTGCGGTGACATGATCATAACCCAGAATAGCCTCAAACACCTGGGCTCAAGCAATCCTCCCATCTCAGCCTCCCAAGTAAACAGGACTAAAGGCAACGGCCACCTCACCCAGCAAATTTTTTTACTTTTTGTAGAGATAGTGACTCATTATGTTGCCCAGGCTGGTTCTAGCTCATGGCATGAAAGGATCCTCCTGCCTTGGCCTCCCAAAGCATTGGGATTACAGGCATGAGCTCCTGCACCCGGCAGAACTCTTATTTATACATAGACAGTATACAACCACATTTTAAAAACCCTAAATAAATGACAGAAAAAAATTACAAACAAGAGTATGTAATAGGTAGCAGGATATAAAACTTTATAATGAGAATCAAGAGCTATCATATATACCTTAAGAAAAAGTTAGAAGATGGCAGAGTAGGAAGCATCAGGAATTTGTCTCCCCACCCAGGCAACAATTGCCTGGCAGAATCTGTCTGATGGAACTATTTCGACTCTGGCGTCTGTTGAAGGATTGCAACTTCCAGGGGAAGGACTGGACTGAAAATTGGAGTTAATTTCAGCTCTTAGCACAGTAGCAGCTACCCATCTCCCACCCCAGCTCCATGACACATAGTTTCGCAAGGGTTCCTGGAGCAGTTTGCACACAGCTTGCAGGAGCCGGGGTGGGCAAAAAAGCACCCTGTCCTCCAAATATTGAGAATCTGTGCTTGCTGACTGCTGCTTCTGATCATAGAGGTGCAAAGAGATGGGTGGTCACTGTTGCTACAATTCCCCACGTTGTTGTGAGGCTCTCCTGCTTTGGGCTGAAGTGATTTCCAAGGAATTTAAAGGGCTGACACCTTTTTACCATCTTCATTTTTTTTCTCTTTTTCTACTTTTGGGAGCCAGACATTAACAACTAGGACACTCAAAAACAACTGCATATACAGGGAAAATTAGAATGATTGCACATGCCCCTGCAAAGGCTCAGAAAAGACCTAAGGAAGACCTTAAGGTTACAACTCAGGCTAACCCTTGGTGCAGGAAGAGCCTACAAGAATAAAAAAGACAAAAACAATAACAGAAAAAAGCAAACCCTAGGGAAGAGGGAGAATCTGATTTCTAGAGTTACCAGACAACCATCATGTTATTATGCAAGGACTGCTGAGAGCACAGTGTACTCATAAGGAAGGCAATGGCCATCTATAGATGCCCTCAGTTTGCCCAACACTGTCCCCTTTACTTAATGACCCAGGAATCGCTATACCAAAAAAAGGTACAAATTGCTCCTGTCTCCCACAGACCTCCACGCACACACTCCAACCTTCTAGGATGCCCTGTGTACTCTCTTCTCTACAAAAACAAAACCCCCTCTGAGCAGAGGGCCCCAAAGATACTTAACAGTGATCACTCTGGCCTCACTCTAGACTCTGTGGACATAGGCCCTAATTTATGCTCCTCAGAGGGCCTTCTAAAGACTCCTGAGCTCTGCTGGCCCTTACTACTCCTATCTCCAGCCCTGAAGTCCATATGTGCCACTAGGGTATCTATAGCCACTAGGTCTTTCCAGAACACACTACTCAGTGGCCACTGGTCCTGTGCCCACCCCATTCCCGACCTGTGTTGTCTGACAGGAAGGCCAAGTGGTTCAGTGCTTCCTCACTAGGCCGAAGCACAATACCCATGAAAGTGGCTGACTAGGACAGGCAAGACAAGCAGATGTGGCACTTACAGAGTGTATGATGTCCACCATGTTGTAGGCTTTGGTTGATTCCAAAGGGACAATTGTGTCGAGCTCAGGAACCAGACGGTCACTTTAGGCAGAAAAAAGGCAGGTATAGTCAACATAGGAAGAGCCAGTTACCTTTTGTGGGAAGGGAGTGGGAAACTTGCCATACATACATATATAGATATGTGTGTGTGTGTATATATACACACACATATGTATATATACACATACACACGTGTATATACACACACATATACGTGCATACACACACATATACGTGTATATACACACATACATATATACGTGTATATACACATATATGTGTATAGACTCCAACAGCAAGAGGAAAGGTCTTCACCAGATGGCCAGCAACACACCCTTCCCCAGGACTGTCCCAGCCTCTGGCTACAAGCAGTATGCATAAACATGTCTCCTAAAGGGCATGCTGTTTGTATCATTTTACATTTATTTATTTCAAAAGGACAACTAAGTAGAGCCCAGGAACCAGTCACTTTAGGAAGAAAAAAGGCAGGTATAGTCACCATAGGAAGAATCATGGCGCTTCCTTTTGTGGGTGAGGGGAAGGAAAGGAAATGAGAGACCTCTTCATGGGGACTAGGCCAGACCAAAAAAAATTCCATCTCCAATTCTAGCTAACTTAAGAGTTTCTTAGAAATCAAAAAATTTTTCTTTAAAAATGTTTTGGGCCACTCTTCACCCCCAAGATAAACATCAGAGGAAAAAGGTAAATAAAATCATCTTTCTTTGCTTCTATAGCCAAACATGACATCATCCTCACACCTAGGAGCCACTCCACCACACTCTGCTGCAACCTGCCCAACAGGGCAGACCCTGAAGGTCCTGTCAGGGCAGAGAAAGGCAAGCTACACTGCAAAATGAGAGAAGGCATACTGGCCTACAACCCACCTGGGATCATGGCACTCACGGACAGGAGCTGAGTCCTGATTGCTCAGGGGCAGGTAGTTGAAGAAATCCCGGAGATTACACAAGGCATCAACATCATTTTCAAAAGCTCTGTGGGCCACACCTAAAAGAACAGGGAGCATATATGATGAGTCAGGGTACCAGCCAGCCCAAAGCTGCTGCTTCATGCCTGACTACACCCTTCTAGGGCATGTCTGTAACAGACTGTGCTGATAGCTCTGTTCTCCACACTCTCCACTGAGGATGTAATGCCACATAATACATACCTTCCGGGTGATCCTTCAACTCATGCAGCATGGGGCATGGGTTCCCTCTGTTCTGCACCCACACCTCTACAGGGTCACACCTTTCTTTATTCAGGTCCTTGCTCTAATGTCACCTCCATATCCACTCCCAGACCCTTCACTATCCATCCCTATACCATGGGGGAGGTTCTCCTCCTGTACTTTTCCCTGCATCACCTATTTCCCTGTTTACTGCCAGATATCTCTCCTGGAATATCAGCTCCAACAGGGTAAGATCAGGCCTGGCCCCCATTAAGAATAATGCACCTGGCAAACAGGTGCCCAGCAACAGTGGAAGGAAAGGAGGGGAGCCACCTGCTCCTAGTGAGGAATCAAGCCATAATTCTTGAAGAGCACTCTGAAATCACAGAGCAGCCAAACAAGGCCATAGATATGATGGAGAAAGTGGAGCCAAGAACTCTCTTCCAGGTTCATCCCACCAGACTCCTTTTTCCACCACTGCCCCTACAGTCTCTTGTCCACAAAGCTGCCAGACAGAGCTTAAGTCAGATCATGTCATGTCTCTACTCCAATGATCTTCCATGTCCACTGAGCGGGTCAGTCACTCTCCCACCTGAGAGCCTTTGCATAAGCTATTCCTTCTGCCTGCAATGCTCCCCACTTACATATCAATGCAGTTAAACTCCTTAAAATCTGCTCAGCTCCTAACCTCAGTGAGGCCTGCCATTACTACCCTATTTGAAACTACAACAATCCCAGTCCCCTTTACCCTGTTATACTTTTTGCATAGCACGTATTGCCTTCTAACATACCGCATAGTGTACTCATTTATAATGTTTATTGTCTATCTCCTCTACTAGAATATGAGCCCCATATGGGCAGGAGTCTTTCGTTCTGTCCACAGATGTATTCCTAGCACCTAAAACAATGCTTCACACATAGGTACTCAATGAATATTTGTTTTTTCTTTGCTTTTTTCTACATTTTTATTTATTCTATTTTAAATTTTTAATTCCTTTGCTATTTGTCTTTTTCCACATATTCTAAATGAGTATTTGTTGTAAAAAGCATTTTCAGCATGACAGAATTCTTTCATTCAAGATATATTTATAACTGGGTACAGCCACTTTGGAAGAGAGTCTGTCAGTTCCTTAAAAGTTAGACATCGAGTTATCATTTAACTCAGAAATCAAAGAGAAATGAAAACATATGTCTACCCAAAAACTTGCATATAAATATTAATAGAGGCATATCTATGATAGCCAAAAAGTAGAAATGACTTAGTATCTATTAACTGGTCAGTGAATAAACTAGATGTAGTATATCCATACACTGGAATATTATTCGGCCATAAAAATGAATAAAGTACTGATTCATGATACAATATGGATGAACCTTTAACATTATGCTAAGTAAAAGCAGCCAGCAACAAAAGATCACATATTATATGATTCCATTTCTAGGAAATGTCCAGAATGAAAAAATCCATATAGAGACAGAAAGTAGCCTGGTAATTGCCTAGAGCAGAAGTATTTGTGGTGAAATGCAGAGTGACTGCTAATGGGCACAGGGTTTCTTTTTTTTTTTTTTTTGAGACGGAGTCTCGCTCTGTCGCCCAGGCTGGAGTGCAGTGGCCGGATCTCAGCTTACTGCAAGCTCTGCCTCCCAGGTTCTCGCCATTCTCCTGCCTCAGCCTCCCGAGTAGCTGGGATTACAGGCGCCTGCCACCTCGCCCGGCTAGTTTTTTGTATTTTTTTAGTAGACACGGGGTTTCACCGTGTTAGCCAGGATGGTCTCGATCTCCTGACCTCGTGGATCCACCCATCTCGGCCTCCCAAAGTGCTGGGATTACAGGCTTGAGCCACCGTGCCCGGCATCACGCAACTCTGAATGTATTTAAAAACCGCTGAATTGTACACTACAAATAGGTGTTTAAAATGTATAGTATATGAATTACATCTCAATAAAGCTGTTACCAAAAGAGAAAAAAGAGAGAAAAATATATGTATAGAGCATCTTTTCGTGCCTTGCCCTGGGGATACAGGGCCAAGCGCATCAGACACAGCCCATCAAAGAGCCTCAGGCCCAGAAAGAAAACCACATACTGCCCTACAATCAAAAAACAAACAAAACACACTTAAGATTGTGCTACAGAAGAAACTTTAATGTCATGGCAGACATTCATTACTTTAAGCTGTCAAGTAAAAAAAAAAAAAAAACCTCAGGTTATATAAGAGTATGCTCATACCTACGTTTGAGTAAGTGTATGTGTATTCACAGTCATCTGCATGAAAAGACTGCAAGGGTATAACCTGTGGATGATGGAATATCTAGTGGTTTTTATGTTTTGTATGTTTTCTACTACAAACATATAATGCTATTAAAACGGGGAAAAATAAACAGCGTATTTCGTCAAATCTAAGACGCCATCAAGACCCAGCTTTATATTATATCCCAGCAAGAAAAACAGGCTGCTGCCAATAAAGCCCTGAGACAACAGCATCAGGCCGTGCTGGAGTTGATGCTGAGAAGTGTTCTGATTCTAGATATGTCTTAAAAGATGGGGCTAAATGATGCTGATAGGTAAGGGAAAGGAATGAGTCAAGATCGATGCCAACCTGACAAGGGGAGAAACAATTTTTGTGGGTGGGGGAATCAAGAGCCCTGACTTTTTTTTAAACTATATTTCATCTAATCTAAGACTTCACTGATAATACCCATCTCTACTTTAGGGACACTGGGAAGAACTGCTGACAAATGCTGACCCAATGCCTTAACCACAGTGCAATGAGGTGCATAAATCAGGCACGCCAGCCTCTTACTACTGTAAAATCTCTCAAAGAAGTAATTTCTCCTGTCTTTAGTTACATTGCTGTGTGGTAGGCAATCCATTCACAGCTGGGTGGTTTCTTTTACAAGAAAACATGGAATTGCAATAATTACTCCAACAGCTAACGTCTTCACTAATATCAGAATCATGCCCTACTCCCAATTCCATGCCTTTCTGTTTAAACAAGAACTTTTTGTTTCAATGCTGAGGCACAGAATAATCTTTATACATTTTAAACTTGGCATGTAATCTTAAAGTTGTGAACAACTAGCAGGACATGGTGACTCATGCCTGTAATCCCAGCACTTTGGGAGGCTGAGGTGGGAGGATTGCTTGAGCCCAGGAGTTCGAGACCAACCTGGGCAACACAATGAGACCACACTTCTACAAAAAAACATTAAAAATAAAAATTACCTGGGCATGGTGGCACATACCTGTAGTCCCAGCTACTAGAGAGGCTGAGGCAGAAGAATCACTTGAGCCCAGGAGACTGAGGCTACAGTGAGCTATCATTGTGCCCCTGTACTCCAGCCTGGGCAACAGAGTGAGACCCTATCTCAAAAACAAAACAAAACAAAACAAAACCACCAGGTATGGTGGCTCATGCCCATAATCCCAGCACTTGGGGAAGCCAAGGTGGGCAGACTGCTTGAGGCCAAGAGTTCGACACCAGCCTGGTAACATGGTAACACCCCGTCTCTACAAAAAAAAAAAAAATACAAAGATTTGCTGGGCATGGTGGTGCATGCCTGTAGTCCCAGCTACCCAAGAGTCTGTGGTGGGAGGATTACTTGAGCCTGGGAGGCGGAGGCTGCAATGAGCTAAGATTGTGCACTGAACTCCAGCCTGGGCCACAGAGTTGGATCCTGTCTCAAAAAAAAAACAAAAAAAGAAGAAGTAAACAACTATGACCAAATTCGTGAACACATGGTACATGACCATCATGCACCTGGCCAATGATTGTAAAACACTTATGTACTCTAAGATATATACTAACCTTAGAATAAAAAATGTCACAATAAGATTTTTTTTCAAAGGTTCAACTGTACATATATAAATCATACCTACTTAAAATCACCATTCCAGCAATGAGCTTTAAATTGTTTTAAAGAATAACCAGGCATTATTAATTTAATAAATTTTCTATACTAAATCTACCTTTATCACTATAACTGTAAACAATACACTGTATTGTATTGTAGTACAATAGACTGTACCACAGTCTTCCCAAATAAGGTCAATTAAGTGACATTTCTCAAAAACTGCCACCAGGCTCTTTGGCAATGCCCTCTTCTCAATGTTTGAAAACAACAAGGTCAGCTTCAAGGCCTCTCACCTGACATGGTGGTGTGGGTCTTGGCACCACCGAGCTCCTCCTGGGTAACATCCTCATTGGTGACAGACTTCACAACATCAGGGCCAGTGATGAACAGGTAGGAGGTGTCCTGAAATAAAAGATTTCCAGAACAGTCAATCTCAGAGCACCAGAGCTGGTCACAGCCTTAGAGTCGATTCAGCCAAGATGACAAATGCAGAGAAGATAGTGATGTGGCCGAATGAGGATAGGATGTAGCTTAAAGATACAAATCCAAACTGAAGACCCAAGTTTTCCCTGCCTCAATGTCTATTTTTAAAAAATATCTGTTGCATGGTTCTACCTCAGCAAGTTAACTTGCAGTGTGGCTAACATTTCAAGGTGTAGAACACAGTAACAGGTGGCTCTTACTCAGAGCTTGCTGTGCACCAAGAAGTTTTTTAAGCACTTCACAAAACTGTGTCGGTAAAGCCTGAGTACTATTATCACCCTCATTTACATATGAGGAAACTGAGATATGGGGACTGTATGCAACCAGTCACTTTAAATGAAGCTACTTAAAAATACTGAGAAATCAGTGGGACACAGTGGCTCACACCTGTAATCCCAACACTTTGGGAAGCCAAGGCAGGAGGATCACCTCAGGCCAGGAGTTCATCACCAGCCTGGCCAACATAGCGAGACCCAGTCTCCATAAAAATGCGTTTCAATTAGGTAGGCCTGGTGGCACGTGCCTGTAGTCCCAGCTACTCAGGAGGGTGAAGTGGGAGAATTACTGGAGTCGCAGTGAGCTATGACTGCTTGCACCACTACACTCCAGCCTGGGTGACAGAGTGAAAACCTCTCAAAAACAAAAACAAAAAACTAACAAATCAATGCTTCGGTATTATGACAGAGTGATAGGCTTTTAATTTTTAGTTTATAATATATAGATAATATAAGCATACTGCACAAAATTTAAACAGAGGAATAGGAGATACAGTGGAAAGTCTACAGCCCAGCCCTTACTTCCAGGCCTCCAATTCCCCTCCCCTAAGTCATCCCCTGTCAGTTTCTTCTCTCTCCCTACAGAGACACCCATGAACCCATGAGCATTAATATATACATATATTTGCCCTCTTATCTTCTAACACAAACATTATCTAACACAAACACTTTCTAATGCAAACATTTTCTTCCCAACACAGTGTTCTATACACACTGTTCTCAAATTTGTTTTTCTAGCTTGAAGATCATTCTATTCCTTATCAATATAGTAGGATTTGTATCATAATTTAACTTTTCACCAATTGATGATCATGAAGGTTGTTTCCAAAACTTTAGTATAATAAGCAATTCTGCAATCAATATTACTACAGTGCTCTCTGAACTCACTATTCATGTTCTTTGCCCACTTCTAATACATCGCTGGCTTTTCTATATACTAAAGAAATTAGTCTTTAGTCTATCATATGGATTATATCAGTCTTTTATCTTATGGCTTCTTGGTTTGAAATCTTGCTAGAAAAGTCTAGCTAGAAAGGTCTTCCCCACTTCACACACAGACTTTGAAACAAATGTTTATAGCAGCCTTATTTGAAACTGTTAAAAAAAAAAAAAAAAAAAAAAAAAAAAAAAAAAACTAGAAACACAGAATTTCAGGTTTCCAGTCTAGCACATAAGAAACTGAAAGTTGATACTCCTTCCTTACAAATAAAAAGCTGAACAAGTTGCAGGGGAAAAACCAACAGCTTTTCTTAGATCCATCAGAGAGGTGAGGTCACAGAACAAAGCACTCCAAAACTGGAGACCGACTGGCAAATGCAGAAAATTGATCCTTGCAGGGTAGAAACCCACAAGCACAAATCTCCCCCAGAGCCAGGGCTGATGTATGAAATCCAGAACTACAACTAACAAATTGCTGGAGGCCCAGCATGGACAAGTCTGAGAGATAAAGACTCCAGGGGCGGCCAGTCACTGGGGCTCCCACACTTTTGTGAGTTTTACCTGTAGGAACTCAACAAGGTTCTCACAGAGATTATCAGAGAAAAACTCCCTTACACTTCTGACATGCATAGGGGGAAAAAAGAGACCCTTCTGAGATGCACCAGAGCACAATTCTTAACAGGGTCTGCCCTCAGGCGAAACTATATAACCAGAGCCTAACCTGCTGAAGTTTTATCAGAAACTGCTGACCCGAGGGAAGAAAAATACCAAACTCAAGCCAGCTCTGGCCTTCCATGTGGGAGAGGGGAAATGGCCAGCCCCAACCCGTTCTAGCCACCCTGTCCCACCTAAAAACTGCAAGAGACTGAGAGACACATGACATTCATAGTTCAGAGGCACAGGCTCACTAAAAGACTGACACCTACTCATAAGACTACAGAACACTTCCTCTTCCCCAGCTCCTTACCATTACTAAGGGCCTATTTACAACAGTTCATTTTACCTAGTATATCATGTCCAGCTACCAGGAATAAGTCATAAGACATACTAAAAGACAAAAAACGAAGTTTGAAGAGACAGAATAAGCATTAGAACTGGAATCAGACATAGCAGAAATGTTGGAATATTCAGACCAGAAATTTTAAACAACAATTAAGATGTTTGCCAGGTATAATGGCATGTGTCTGTAGTCTCAGGTACTCAGGAGGCTGAGGAGGGAGGATCACTTGAGCCCAGGCCTTCAACACTAGCCTGGCCAAGACAGCAAGACTCCATCTCAAAAAACAAAAATAAACAAAATGCTAAGGGCTCTCATGGATAGAGTAGACAGCAAGCAAGAACAGATGAGCAATGTAAGGTGAGAAATGGAAATTCTAAAAAAATAACTAAAATACGCCAGGGATTGGAAACACTGCAACAGAAATAAAGAATGCATCTGATACGTTTTTTTGGCAGACTGGGCCTGCTTGAGGAAAGAAACTCTGCGCTTGAAGATATCTCAAGAGAAACCACCCAAATTGAAAAGCAAAGAAAAAAATCAGATTGAAAAAAACTGGAGTATCTAAAAACTGTGGGACAACTTACAAACAATGTAACATATACATAATGAGAATGCCAGAAGGAAAAGAAAGAGAAAAAAGAACAGAATATAGGAAGTAATAATGACTGAAAAGTTCCCCAAATTGTCTGACAACAAACCACAGATCCAAGAAGCTCAGAGACCATCAAGCAAGATGAATGCCAAAACAAACAAACTAACTAACTAACTACACAGAGAAAGATAGGCCTAGTGGTGCACACCTGTTGTCCCAGCCACTCACGAGCCTAAGGCAGGAAGAACATGTGAGCCCAGGAGTTTGAACCAGCCTGGGAAACACAGAGAGACCCCACCTCTAAAAAAACAAAAAACAAAAAACTACACTTAGGACATTATTTCAAAACTACAGAAAATCAAAGATAAAGAAAAAATCTTAAAGGCAGCCATAAGAAAAAAGCATTTTGCCTATAGAGGACCAAAAAAAATAATTACATCCAAGTTTTCTTAGAAACCATGCAAGAAAGAAGAGAGTAGAATGAAATATTTAAAGTGTTGAGGGGAAAGAGGGGAAAGATCCTACCAACCTAGAATTCTGCACTCTGCAAGATTATTCTTCAAAAGTGAAGGAAAAATAAAGACCTTCTCAAACAAACAAAACTTGAGGTAATCTCTTGCCAGTAGACCTGCCTTGCAAAAAATGTTCAGCAAAATTCTTTACAGAAAAGGTAAATGATAAAGATCAGAAACTTATACGTATATAAAGAAAGAGGATTCAAGAAGGTAAAATGAAAACTTTTGATTCAAAGTAATAGCAAAAATTCAATTATGTACACATTCAATTATGTACAATTTATGTACACATCGCTTCTCAGCCTTTTGGCTAAGATCAAGGGCAACTATGTACACATATTTTATATATATGATATGAGGGATGGGAGGAAGGAATTAGAATGATTTTGCTATTATAAGATACTCATACAACCTGGGAAACAGAAGTTATCTGAAATTGAACTTAAAATAGTTGTAAATTATATTGCAACCTCTAAGGCAACCACCAAAGAATGTAAAAAACAAAAATTTATATATATATATAACTAACATGCTAATACAGGAGAAAAATGGAATCATATAGAATGCTCAATTAAAATCACAAAAGGCAGAAGAGTGGAAGACAAAAATAAGAACAAACAACAAAAAGAAAACAGTAACAAATACGGTAGATATTAATCCAACTATACCAACAATCTCTCTGAATGTCAGTGGTCTAAATGTAACAATTAAAAGACAGATAGTCAGACTGGATCAAGAATCTGTCAAGACACAACTATATGGGATGTCTATAAAAAACCCACTTGAAATAGACACATAAAGATTAAAAGTAAATGACTGCAGAAATACATTACATGCTAAGACTAATCAAAAGAAATCAGGAGTAGCTATATTAATTTCAGACAGAAAAGGCTCAGACCAAGGAAAGTTATTATACAGAGGAATTCTGAATAATGATAAAGGGGTCAATTCTCCAAGGAGACAAACAGTCCTTCCTGTGTATGCACCTAACAACAGAGCATCAAAATAACATGAGGCAAATACTGATAGCACTGGAAGGAGAAATAGATGAATCCATGATTACAGTTGAAGATTTCAACACTTCTCTATCAAAAGTGGACAGATCCAGCAGGCAGAAACAATAAAGACACAGATGAACTCAGTAACACCAATCAGCTGGGCACAGTGGCTTATGCCTGTAATCCCAGCAACTCAAGGGCCCTATGTGAGAGGATTACTTGAGGCCAGGGGTTAAGACCAGCCTATGACAATATGGCCAGATCCCGTCTCTATAAAAATTAAAATAAATAAGAATTAGCCTGGCCAACATGGTGAAACCCTGTCTCTGCAAAAATTAAAAAATTGGCCACGCATGGTGGCATACACCTATAGTCCCAGCTACTCAGGAGGCTAAGGTGAGAGGATTGCTTGACCCCAGGAAGTCAAGGATACAGTGAGCTGAGATCACACCACTGCTCTTCAGCCTGGACGACACAGCGAGACTCTGTCTCAAAAACATAAATTAAATAAAAAATTAGCCAGGTGTGTTGGCATGTGCCTGTCATCCCAGCTACACAGGAGGATCACTTGCGCCCAGGAGGTCGAGGCTTTGGTGAGCTATGATCATACTACTGCACTCCAGCCTGGGTGAGTGAGACAGAGTGAGACCCTGTCTCTAAAAATTTTTTATAGAAGACCAGGTGTGGTAGCTTATACCTGTAATCCCAGCACTTTGGGAGGGAGGAGGATTACTTGAGCCCAGGAGTTCAAGACCAGTCTAAGCAACACAGTGAGACCAGTTCTCTACATAAAAAATAAAAAATAAAAAAATAAGCAGGCATGGCAGTGTATACCTGTAGTCCAAGCTACACAGGATGCTGAGGCAGGAGGATCACTTGAACCTGGGAACTGAAGTAGTTTGCAGTGAGCCGAGATCATGCCACTGCACTCCAGCCTGGGTGAGAGGGGGAGACTCCGTCTCAAAAAATAAAAAATAATAATAATAAACATTTTAAAAAGTAAAATAAATAGAAATCATTTTTAAAATTAAAGAAAAACGGTACCAATAAACTGGATATGATGGACACACTTCCTCTAACAACAGAATACACCTTCTTCTGAAGCTCCCATGGAACATTCACCAAGTGAGACTACATTCTGAGTCATAAACATACCTTAATTTAGAAGAACAGGAATCATACGAAAAGGCACTCAGCCTTATTAGTTATGGACTAATGCAAATTGAGTCAAAGCAAATTGAGAACACAATAAGAGACTATACCACAAGCATCAAACTGGCACAATTAAAATATGTTAATATAAATGCTGGCAAGGATGTGAAACAACTGAAATTCTCAAACTGCTGGCTGCAGCCTCTTTAGTAAACAGACGGGTATTATCTAGAGAAGCTGAAGACATATATATCCTATGACCTAAGATTGCCTCTAATGTGAAATGTTTACATCAGCATCAGAAATTCAAATGTGCATGCCAAGATACATGTAGAAAAATGTTTACATCGGCATCATTTGCAATGGCAAAAATCTTGAAATAATTTAAATGTCCGTCAGCAGTGGAATGAATGAATACGTTAAGAAATACTATGGCTGTGCATGGTGGCTCACGTCTGTACTCGCAGCACTTTAGGAGGCTGAGGCAGGCGGATTACTCGAGGCCAAGTATTGGAGACCACCCTGGCCAACATAGCAAAATCCATCTCTACCAAAAATACAAAAAATTAGCTGGATGTGTGGTGGCACATGCCTGTAGTCCCAGCTACTTGGGAGGCTGAGGTGTGAGAATCACATAAACCCAGGAGGCAAAGGTTGCAGTGAGGCGAGATGCATGTCACTGCACTCCAGTCTGGGTGACAGAGCAAGACTCTGTCTCAAAAAAAAAGAAAAAAAAAACCATATACACACACACACACACGCACACATATATATATATACACACGCACACACACATACACATATATATACACACACACATATACACACACACATATACACACGCACACACACATATATACACACGCACACACACATACATGCACACACACTTACTACAGAGCTGTTAAAGTGAATGAACTACATTTTCCAAGAACAACATAGATAAATCTTAGAAACATAATCAGCCAGAAGCCATGAACAAAAGAAAGCATATTACATGGTTTCACTTAACATAAAGGTCAAAACAGGAAACACTAATCCACATTGTTTAGGGAGGCAATTTTTATTTTCAACTATGAAGCAAAGCAAATAAAAATATTACCATAAAAGCTGAGACAGTAAAGAATTCTATGCAGGATGGAGGCTACAGTGATCCTTAGGAAGGACCATCATGACAGGGCTCTTGAAGAGCTATTTCCTGACCTGGGTTATTATTAATTTTTTTTTTTTTTTTTTTAAGACAGAGTCTTGCTCTGCCACCCAGGCGCGCTTGGCTCACTGCAACCTCCGCCTCTCAGATTCAAGCGATTCTCCTGTCTCAGCCTCCCGAGTAGCTGGTACTACAAGCACGTACCACCACACTTGGCTAATTTTTATATTTTTAGCAGAGACAGGGTTTCATCACGTTGACCAGGCTGGTCTCAAACTACTAGCCTCAAGTGATCCACCCACCTCAGCCTCCCAAAGCACTGGGATTAGAGGTGTGAGTCACCCCACCCAGCCTGACCTGCGTATTATTTACACACATTTGCACTTTGTAATAACTGTTAAACTATACATATCTTATGTACTTTCCTGAATATGTATTATATTACAAAATTTAAAATGATTACAAATTTTTTAAATTTATAAATTTGACTCTCAAAGGAGTCAGTGACAGAAGCAGTCAGGAGGATTCTGTAATAATCAGATGGGAAATGATGTGCTTGAATCAAAGTGGTAGCAGTTTTGGTAGTAAGAAGTAAGTAGTAGTGCTAAGAAGCAATTTGATTATATTGTGGATTATATTCTAAAGTAAAGCCAACAGGACCTTCTGACTAAATTTAGGATGTGATAGCAAAAGATGAGTTCAAATAGTGTCAAAACTTTTACCTGAGCCACTGGAAGACTAGACTTGCCGTTTAAAATGGCAAAGGCTGTAAGAGAGCAATGCAGGAGGAGCCTGGTAGAAATCAAAACCTGTTAAGTTTAAGACACCCATTAAAGTTCAAATGGAAATTCTGGTAGGCTCTTAAACATATAATCCTGGAGAAACAGATTTGAGAGTTGTCAGCATATGGATCAGTATTTAAAGTCATGAGACTGGAGTGATCAGTTAGAGCAAATATTGTGAAGAGGTAAGACAAACGGTGAGAAATGTTAACTGGATTTAGTGATGCAGCAATCATTGGTATCTCTGACATAAGAAATTGTTATTATCAGTGACTTTGCTTAGAACAATATCCTTTTCATCATAATGTCCAAATAGATGTAGATCTATTTATCAATTCTGTAATGTCCCTTGGTCTTTCTGTTCATTTACTTACAAGTTCTTAGACTGTTTTAGTTATTGTAGTTTTAAATCCTGGCACCTGGTAGGGCTAACTCCTCATTACACTACTTTCATAGAATGTTTATGCTTGCATGTTTCTTCCTCCCATAAGAATGTTATAATTACCTTGTGTAGTCCTTTAAAAGAGACTTAGTATTTTCCACTGCACTCTTATTAAATACACAGAATATTTAAGATGTAGAATGGCGACAGTTTGATAATATTGCTGAGGACAAGAGAGGAAGTCTCACTAATAGCAATTATTAAGTAAAGTTTTGTAAGCAGAAAATGAGATTGCTTAGAATAAAACACAGAATTAAAAGAGAAAGCAGTTGGAATGAACTCCAGCATCTAGAGTCTGAATGGAACCATGTAAATTGCCAATGGAAACCAGGAAGGTATGGTCAGAGTTGTGAGAAGAAATGCCAGAATATGGTATAATGGAAGCCAAGGGAACACTGTTGAAAGACTGACGAATATGAGAACTGCATTTACGGTGATGCAAAAGCCACTGAGGACCTTAAAAAAATGATTTAGTGGTCTAGGGGTCAAAGCTAAATTAACATGTGTTGAAGAATGGGATGGCAAGAGAGAAACAGAGCAAGAGCTACAGGAGTATGCCAACTAGAGGACAGTTTTTGTTTCGATGATAGGAAAGACCTAAGCGTGATTAAGTTTTGATGGGAGGATCCAGTACCAAGGGAGAGACTGAAGATACTAAAGAGAAAGGAGCAAAGGGACAGTATAAGGGTCCTGAAGAGGGGTGGAGAGTTATATTCAGTAATGTGGATGTGTGTAGCAGAAGGAAAGGATGACTTTAGTCAGAGGAATTGATCCCACACCTCCCTTCATAACAGCAGGAAGGAGGAGAGAATGGGGGTAGCACCAGTTAGGTATGTATATATAGATTTAGTAATCAAAGTTCAGAAAATTCTGCATTGTCCACCAAGTAAAAGAAGTGGTCATCTTACTTCTATTTATTTATTTTTTTATTTTTGAGGCAGGATCTTCCTCTGTCACCCAGAGCTAGAGTGCAGTGGCACGATCTTGGCTCACTGCTGCTTCGATATTCTGGACTCGAGTGATCCTCCCACCTCAGCCTCCCAAGTAGCCACAGGTATGCACCACCATGCCCAGCTAATTTTTGTATTTTTTTGTAGAGATGGGGTTTCGCTATGTTGCCCAGGCTGGTCTCAAACTCCTGAGCTCAAGTGATCCGCCTGCATCAGCCTCCCAAAATGCTGGGATTACAGGCATGAGCCACTGTGTATGGCCCATCTTAAATTTGATTAATAAAAGTTACTCCTATTGTTGAATACTTACACTGCTTTCAGTATGTCACTAAGAACAGAATAGTTGAGTCAAAGTGGTAAGCACTTTGTGAAACTTCTGAATTCCTACTGCCTAACTTCTCTCGAGAACAAAGGGTTTCCCATTTACACTCCCTCTAGAACTCCTCTCCTCATGTTGGATGGCTATCATTACTTTTTCCCCCCAACCGTTCTGTCTTAGCATCCAATGTTCACTTTTATTAATATTTTAAGGCTGACTTTTTTAAAGCAGTTTTGAGATTAATGGTAATTACTCTTGTATAAGTTCAAATAGACTTCATTTTAAAATATTTTTAAAATATAAGTCCATTAAAGTCATGTAATAAAGATATGTACCTCTCAAAATGAAGTGTGAGATCAGATTTATCCATTACCATTATGGACACAAAGTAATAAAATGACAAGGAGCTGAAGAAATAAAGGTGAAACATCAGAAACAACTTTCCAATAAACGGATTACAGAAAAGCCTTCCATGAGAAACTTCTTGAATAGGACTCAGTAAACAGTTATCTCTCTGTTCGGAGGACAGGATTCATTGATTACCTGAAAATCATTTGCAATTCAGATCAACAAGTAAAATCACCCAGCAATGAAGTACATAAGCACCCCCTGCCACTGAACCCCCATGAGCTATAAATTTCATGCCAAAACCCTCTCTCCACTAACACCTTATCATCACTATGCTGAAAGCCAATGAGAATGCAGATAACCTAGATCTGGGTCAGGAATTATTTTTATTGCAGGTAAGGAACTGCACAAATATCAAAGGGCACCAGAAACAAGCCCTTCTTTCTTACCTTTACCATGAACGTGAAGTCTGTTAGGGCTGGGGAGTAGACAGCCCCACCAGCACATGGGCCCATGATCAGAGAAATCTGAGGGATGACTCCGGATGCCGTAACATTCCTCTGCCAAAACAGAAAAGCAAAGGCATCGGGTTACAGAGATGTCTGAGGCATTATCTGCAGAAAGATAAAGACAACAATACGATAACATTTGGCTTTTTTCCCACAGAAATTCTATACAGGAGGCAACAGACCTAATCAGTAAAGTTCTTTAAGGATTATATGTGCATTTTCTCCCCGTAACTGCTGGGATGGTCAGCATATTACTTTCTGAGGCAAATATTTTCTCTCCCCTCCCCTCCTGCGCAGCAGGTTCCCTAAAACCTTCACTGAGGGCATGAGGTACAGAGTGTGTCCCACCACCCACACCACCGCTCCAAACACAAAGCCCCCTGTCTGTGTAAAGCCGCCTGAAAGAAGAATGAAAACCTCATGCAGAGTTTGGAAAGCCAACACTTATCCTGGCGCCCTGACCTCTATTTTGAGTCCCTCCACACCCTCCACAGAAGGCACACAGTAGTCACTTGGCAAGGGTACAAGGCAGGTGCTTCTTGACATTGAGTATCCAATGTCTACTCTGCCCATCCCCAGACAAGGCATGCAGCAGAGAAGGAGGTAGGAGGAGCCAGAAAGCCTCCATAAGGACATTGTGTTGTGAAGGACTAAGCCTCAGTCCACCTCCTAGGAAAGACAGGATGTGGTGGCTCAAAGACCCAGGCAAGATGATAAAGGCCCAATTACTCTTTTGCCTTACTTCCAACCCCTTTCCTTCTCCTAAGTCCCATCAGTTTAGGAAAAGTAGGTTCGCTTTTCAGCCTGCCTTGGCTCTAAGCCCAATCTCTACACAGCTAAGGACAGTGCAAAATGTAATCTGTACTTTCTGCAAAAATACCAAGGTAGTTGGGGAGACTTCTAGCTGTGGCAGAGTGAAGAGTTCAGAAAATGCTCTCCCCAAAAACAACTGGACAACATTGTCAAAAACGAGTATTTCGGGGTTCTAAAAATGAGCCAAATGTAACAAACTGATAAGTGTTTATTCATTAAAAACTGCTAAAGTTGAGATAAGAACAGTGAGAGCCTGTGGCATTCTTTTTTTTTTTTTTTTTTTGAGACAGTGTCTCTCTCTGTCCCCCAGGCTGGAGAGCAGTGGCGCCATCTCGGCTCACTGCAAGCTCCGCCTCCCAGATTCACGCCATTCTCCTGCCTCAGCCTCCTGAGTAGCCGGGACTACAGGTGCCCGCCACCTCGCCCGGCTAATTATTTTGTATTTTTTAGTAGAGACGGGGTTTCACCATGTTACCCAGGATGGTCTCGATCTCCTGACCTCGTGATCTGCCCGTCTCGGCCTCCCAAAGTGCTGGGATTACAGGCGTGAGCCACCGTGCCCGGCCCACCTGTGGCATTCTTAACCAAGGCTGCCATCATTGCCCATACCAGCTCAAAATGTCCCACTGGATGAAAGGAAATAACACCAGACTGTAATTCAAATCCACAAGAACCAATTAAGAGTGCTGAAAATGATATGTGATTATAATACTGCATAAGTATAGTTCTCTTTTCTTAGTACTTTGAAAGACAAGACTGTATAAAGCAATAATTAGCACTGTTTTGAGTATTATATAACAATAAAAGCACAAATGAAGGGGGCAAAAATGGAGCTACATTGGAGCAAAGCTCCTATGTTTTACCAGAATTAGGTCAGTATTAATTTGAAGCAGATTGTGATAAATTAAGATACATAGTAACCCTTAAAGCAACTACAAATAACTCAAAATATACAGCTAAAAAACACCAGAAATTAAAATAGTACACTAAAAATACATGCTTACCATAAAAGAGTTGAGTGACATCACAGAAGAGAGAATAGGAAGCTCCAGGAATCCAAGATCAAAACAACTATTCAACTGATAGAAACTGTCCAAAGCAACTATTTTTGAATTCTGGAGTCCAGTCAAACAAAAACACTTCAGGGCCCAGAGGAGAGTTTGATAAAGCAGCAAGTAAATTTCAGTAAATTTCACATGTATTAATAACATGGCTGCTATAATCCCCCAGCCAACAGACCATGGCAGGTAGCCACGAAGATGTTCCTAGTGTAGCCAGCTGGTGCCAGATTGGGAAATGAGAACCTTTGCATCTTGGTTTTTCAATCTTGAAAAATCAAGGTTGTGTGTTCTGATTGCTGACCACTGCTTTTGATGGCTGAGGGGCCAAGCATAGAGGCTGGCATTGTTTCCACCCTGATGGGCTCAAGCAGCTTCTCAACCACAAGGGATTTAAAAAGGTAGTTTGGTCCACACCCCTCCACCCTTCTGGGAGACAGACATTTAAGGAAATTATTGTGAGATTGCTGGTTAAACACAGGGACAAGAGAACTAAAATTTCAATGACCATATTCAATAAGGAACATACTCTTTGCAAAAACAGCTTGGGAAAGTTCAAGCAGATGGATCCAGTAGTTGACAAGCAAAAATCAGCTATTCCTGAAGAGTGGGAGACCTAGACTTCCAAACTTCCAAACATAATATTCAGAATTGCCCATCCTCAACAAAAAATTACAAATCATACAAAGAAATGAGTATGGCCCATTCACAAGAAAAAAATAATTTAACAAAAACCGTTTCTGAAGAAACCCAGATATTGGACTTAATAGTCAAAGATGCCACACAAACTGTCTTAAATATGTTCAATGAGCTGAAGAAAGCTGTGGGGGGAAAAATTACAGGAAATTAGGAAATCAATGTCTGAACAAAATGAGAACACCATAAAGAGATAGAAATTATAAAAAGGAACAAAGCAGAAAGCCTGGAGTTGACAAGTACAATAACTGAAATGAAAAATTCATTTCCGGGGTTCAACAGCAGACTTAAGCAAGCAGAAAAAAAGGACCAGGGAACTGGAATACAAAACAATTAAAATTATCCAGTATGAGGAACCAGAAAAAAGAAAAAGACAAATTAATAGAGCCTGAGGGACCTGTGGGAAACCAACAAACATACCAGTATAGACATTACAGGAATCCCAGAAGAACAGAAAGGGTCAGAGAAAAGATTTGAAGAAATAATGACTGAAAACTTGCCACATTTGATGAAAGACATAAATATACATACCCAAGAAGCTCAACAAACTCCAAGCAGTACAAACTCAAAGAGATCCACACAGAGACACATTATAGTCAAACTGTCAAAACACAAACGCAAGAAGAGAAACTTGAAAGCAGCAAGATAGAAGCAACTCATCCCATGCAAGGGATCCTCAGTAAGATTAACCATGGAGGCCGGAAGGTGGTGGGACATATTTAAAGTACTGAAAAGTCAGGTGCACTGGCTCACACCTGTAATCCCAACACTTTGGGAGAATGAGGCAGGAGGACCACTTGAGGCCAAGAGTTTGAGACCAGCCTGGACAACATAGTGGGCCCTGATCTCTACAAAAAAAAAAAAAAAAATTTTTTTAATTGGTCAGGCATAGTGGTGTTTTACTAGCTACTCAGAAGGCCGACGTAGGAAGACTACTTGACCCTACAAGGTCAATGCTGCAATGAGCCATGATCATGCCATTGCACTTTATTCTGCATGACAGAGCAAGACCCTGTGTCTAAAATAAAAACAAAATAAAGTATTGAAAGAAGGCTGGGCATGATGGCTCACACCTGTAATTGCAGCTCTTTGAGAGGTCAAGGGAGGTGAACTGAGTCCAGGAGTTTGAGGCCCACATGAGCAACATGGTGAAACCCTGCCTTTACAAAATACACAAAAATTATTCAGGCATGGTGGTGCATGCCTATGGTCCCAGCTACACAGGAGGCTGAGGAGGGAGAATCACTTGAGCCCAGCAGGCGGAGTTGCTGTACACCAAGATCACACCACTGCATTCCATCCTGGGCAACAGAGCAAAACTCTGTCTCAAAAAGAAAAAAAGAAGTATTGAAACAAAACAACTGGTCAACCAATAACTTTACATCCAGCAAAACTATCCTTCAAGAAAGAAGGGAAAATTAAGACATTTCCAAGTCAACAAAAGCTGAGGGCATTCATTCGCAACAGACATGCCATAGAAGAAATGCTACAGGGAGTCCGTTAGTCTAAAATAAAAGGATATTAGACAGTAACATGAAGTCAGGAGAAAAAATAAAGAACACTAATAAATCTAACTTCCTAGGTAAACATAAAAAGTAGTGTTGTACTTTGGTTTGTAATGTCTTTTTCCTATGTGATTTAAAAGGCAAATTTACGGCTCCTCTCAGCAGTGGCAGCCCCGGCAGAGGAGTCTGCACAAAAAATAAAATTCACAAAAATAAATAAAAAACAAAAGGCAAATGTATGAAACAATCATAAATCTGTTAATGAGTATACCATGTATAAAGCTATAATCTATGACAACATAAAAAAAGATGGAGAGTTACAGAAGCAGTGTGTCTACGTCTACTAAAGCTAACCTGGTATTCTTCCAACTAGTTTAAGATATTAATTATAATCCCCAAGGTAACCACTAAGAAAACAAACTTTAAAATATGATTAAAATGAAAGAAGTGAATCAAAAGGCAAACAACTTCACTAAATATCACCACCCCAATGCCGTAATGGAGGGACTGAGGCATAAAAAACCAAAACACATACAGCAATAACTAAATGGCAGAAGTAAATCCTTCTTTTTCAGCAATCACACTAAGTATAAATGGATTAAACTCTTCTATTAAAAGACAGGGATTGACAGATTGGATTTAAAAACCAGAATCTATCTGTATGCTATTTACAGGAGCTTCACTTTAGATACAAAGACACGAAGAGGTAAAGGATGGAAAAAAATATTCCATGCAAAGGGTAACCAAAATAGAGCCTCGGTGGCTATATTACTATCAGACTAAAGAGACTTTAAATCAAAAACTTACTAGAGACAAAGATATTACATATTGACAAAAGGTTCACTACATCTAGAAAATATACCAATTATAAAAATATACACACCTAACAGAGCCCCAAAATCTATGAAGCAACAAGAGCCCCAAAATACACAAAGCAAAAGTTAACAAAATTTATAGGGAGAAATAGGTGCACAATAAT